GGTAGAAAGCATCTTGCGAGCTTGCAAGGAATTTGTGCAAGGGGATTTGGCGCGCTTGCTGGATAGGGCAGGTGCTCAGACTCTATCGCGGCCACGGCTGCCTCCACAACCATTTCCTTGCCCTTTTGAAGACCTCGACAAGTGGAATCTGAAGGATTCGTATGGTCCCAACGTGCAGGTCTACAGCATCGGGAAGCAAAACAAGGAGCAAGGCAAGGTGTTCAAGCACTTTGACTACTGGGGACGCACGGCAAATCTCTGCAGCAGCCTCTCGGCACAGTGTGTGCCTTACCAAGATCGCCGCTACCCGCCTGACGACCGAATCTTGACAAAACTCAGTCAACTGGATGTGACGGGCTCGTTCTATCAGAAGTGGGAGGTGGTGAGGCTTGCAACTGCCGTGGATGTGCTCAGCTACCCTTACGTGAAGCCGGCAGACACCGTCGAGATTGAGCAACTGGTCCAGGTCATCTACCAACTGAAGGCCATCCATAGCGTTGACTTTGTGCACGGCGACATTCTTCCTCGCAACATTCTTTTTTGCAGCGACTGGGAAGGGCATCCTGCGGCCTTTCTCATCGACTTTGATCTCGGCCGGTTTCTCGCTGCTAATCCTGCCCACAACCCCGTCTATGCCTCCAATTTTGCCAGGGAAGGAAAGCCGCTGGAGTCGTATCGTCACCCATATGCCCGGGGGGATTTGCCAATGCAGAAGGAGCACGATGGCTTTGCCTTGGCACGTGTCATGGAGAAGTTTTTGCAGGATGACGAGGCTCGTCAGCAGCTGGTGGCTGCGTTGGAAGAGCTGCAGCTGGATGACGCTGCCACGCTGTGTCAGCAGTGCTCGCTTTTGCCGCTAGACAATGTTGCTGGGCTTGGCAAGGCCACGGGCAGTCCTCGGCGTTAATGTGCCAACCTGGCCCTCTCCTTTTCCAAGTATTCTTGACCCTTGTGCTTTTTTTTTTCCGGCCCATTTTGCGCCAAAGCGACGGCTGTCATCAGTTCATTGTAGTGTCATGCGAGCATGCGTCCCATGCGTCTTTGCCCGAACAGAAGCAGACCGATCAGATCCAAGCTTGCCTATTTTGAACACCATAGGGAAGTTGCAGATCATTAAAACCCCGTCGCTTGGGAGGAAAATTAATGGTGAAACACGACGTTGATTTTCTTCTGTTCTGTTCAAATTCTTTAGCTTTCGGTGCGATGACAGAGAGAGAGAGGGACAAGAGGTGCTTGCTTTGACAAATGGCAGCCAGACTGGTTTGG